ACACCACCAGCTTTGAATGAAGACTGGCCTTTGGTGTGGTTGGCGGTGGTTAATTTCACTTGCCCCATGCTCTCCTGCACTCCACATTATTATAAAATATCCACTTTTCATTGCCTGCCATAATTTGTTTTAAATACAGTCAAGGAGATTTTTTTTCACTTAATTTATGTGGAATCCAAACATAACCAAGCTGGTGCAAATGATTTTCAATGCTTAATTTGGTTATTTTGAGTATGTCAGCTATCTCATACATGGTGTAATGTCGATTGTTCTCAATTAACGTCTCGATTTAATCGTTATCAATTTCAACTGGTATACCCAACTATGGAGCATCATCCAATGAGAAATCTCCAGCACAAAACTTCACAAGCCACTTTTGATACATTCAATCAGTCACAGCACCTTCTCCATACACTGCACAAATCTTCTTTTGAGTTTCAGTTGCGTTTTTACCTATCTTGATATAATAAGGCATAGTATGCTGAAAATGTTGTATACTTTCTTCCATCTTCAATATTAAAATGGTTATATAAAAATTCAACAATTTGTAAAGTTTTTTTTAAAGGCACACTGATATGACAGCTGTCAAAACACAACCTAACAAAACTGTTTTGACATTAAAGACAACTAAGCACTACTAGACCCATTTTATGGGGAAAAAAGCAAATGAACTTTTTGGCCACAAGCTTGCCTTGACAACTGAAGTTGAATTGCAGCATTTTGTATTAATTAAATTTCTTTTGCATTCCAAGAAAATGGGGCTTGAACCCAGTATGTCAATTTAAGCCAATAAGTATGCAAACTAGCAAGACTCTAGCATTTAATTTTAAGGGACAAGGCTCTAGCATTTAATTTTAAGGGAACTGGACACTTTCTAGAACCACACCTTGGAGATTAAAACACAAGTGACCTTCAGACAAGTGGTCTAAAGAAGCTGGGGCAGATATTCCTTTTGACATCTACCTTCTTTTAAATTAACTTCTTGGCCACCTTGCAAATGCCACCCCAGAGATCCTACACCCAGCCATGAGCACCCCACTGCGTTCTTTGTCATCGCTGCCAAACGCGAGCCCTTGAACTGCTGTCTCCTTGGAGCTATTTGCAAAGTTCCAAAGACAGCAGAAAACTTTCATGCTCTGAGCACTAGAGAAAGGATTTGGTTTTAAAGGTGCCTGCTTTCACAGAATTATTCCAGGATTTATGTGCCAGGGTGGTGACTTCACATGCCATAATGGCACAGGTAGCAAGTTCATTTATGGGGAGAAATTTGATGATAAGAATTTCATCCAGAAGCATATGGGTCCTGGCATCTTGTCCATGGCAAATGCTGGGCCAAGAACACATGGTTCCCAGTTTTTCATATATACTGCCGAGACTGAGTGGTTCTATGCTTTTGTAGATGGGAAGGTAGAAGGATACTCAAATATTACATTTTAACTTCAACAAGAATGATAAGCATGTACTCTTCAGACAGGTGAAAGACACATGGATGTTGTGGTAGCTATGGAGTGCTTTGGGTCCAGGCATGGCAAGATCAGCAAGAAGATCACTATTGCTGACTATTAACAACTCTAATAAATTTGACTTGTGTTTAATCTTAACCACCAGACCATTCCTTCTGTACCTCAGGAGAGCACCCCTTCACCCCCATCTGCTTGGAATGTTCTACATTCTTCATGCTCTGACCACACTTCACTAGGTTCCCTATTTTCCTAACCCCTTCCAAGTCCAGCTGGACTACAGAGTTCACTATATGATTATAAAATAAAAAATAAATTTAAAAAATTCACTTATTTTGTTCATCCAATGATCTTTTCTACTGATTTTTACTTGCCTGCCTAAAGACACAGTGGACTCCCCAAACCTCAAGTAATTTTGCAAACAAAAAAGTCACTAAACCAAAACAGTTCATTGCTGTCACCTCCTTTTCTCTGATCTCCAAAGAAAGGAGAGAGGAAAGAAGGGACTGTCATAGCATGGGGACAAGTGTGCTTCAGGACAAGTCGTTTTTTCTGTCTAATGAGTTTGCCCAGCAGTCAACCAGTCACCAAGCTCCCTCTCACTTTAACAGCCTCTGGTAGAACTAAGTGAGACACCAGCACCCTGTCAGGTGGAAGATCTGTCACAAAATTTTCTTGCTGTCTTGCATGTAAGTGGTGGGGAGGAAGCTATAGTAGTGAGAAAACTCTGCTTTTTGCAATGAAAAGATCTGGATTAAAGTCCCAGAAGTTTCCCAGGTAACATCTTAGGCAAATTCCTTAATCTTTCTAAGCCTGATTCTCCATCTTTAAAGAAAATGTATACTTTGCAGAACTGTTAAGAAAACTAAAAATAAGATGGACCTGTCTGATATTATAACCAAAAAATATGATGTTCTTCTGGTAACTTAAAGGAAATCACTTCACAAGGGACTCCCACTGACCTACTTTCCAACATTCCCAAAAGCAGGATACCAGGTGATAAGGTGGGAGGGCACACAAACAGAAGCAAGGGTATCTAAATTTGACTTCAGGCTCCTGCCTCTCAACCTTCGAACACCAGCTGTCTTCTCCTCATTTTATCATTGCCATCCATCAGGTCAAGATTACATAACACTCAGCAGGCACCAAATGTACTAAGTACTATGCCACACAGAGTCAGAGGCCCCCACTCTGTTTAAAAAACACTCTGTACTGCCTCTAAACACTTCAACACATATCTTCATCTTATCATAGGCAGCACCTAGGACTATCACACCTTCCCCCCTATTTTTTTTTTAAATATGGTGACTGAGACTCAAAACATAAGTTGTTCACCCAAGATCACATAGCTCATGGGCATCTATCCAGAACTTAGGCCTCCTAATGTCGTTTTCTGAGCCACCTCCCTAATTAACTAATTCACCTACACCCAGTTCTGTGCATTCCATTTAAACTAGGTCCCTGTCTCAATGGATTCAGTCATTTAATCACTCAGCATTTACAAAGCACCACTACCTGCCAAACAGAGATGTAAGAGGAAGTATAGCATTCAATGAGCAGGCCTGAGTTGCCTACTCCAATCCCAGTTCTACCACATGTCACCTAGGTGACCCTGGATAAGTTACTTCATCTCTCAGTGCCTCAATCATCTTTAGCCTATAAAACAGGCAAACAGAATTCTACATCTCTCACCAAGCTGTTGAAAATTAAATGAGAAGTAACCTATAAAAGGTATTCCATGCCCCTACTAGGCATTCAACTATGAGCTGCTTTTATTATTCTAGGTTCGGAGGATACAGGCTTCAATCAGACAAGAGCGGTAGCCTTACACTGTACTGGGAAACACAAAAAATAAGGAAATTATTAATATAAGTTTCAAATGGTAATAAGCATTATAAAAAAATACAGATGTGTGACAATGTAGGTGGGAAGGTACTTTAAGTGGTCACAGAAGGATACTCAAATATTACATTTTAACTTCAACAAGAATGATAAGAGCCAGATATAAGAAAACCTGGGGTGAGGAGTGGGAGAGCGGGAGGGTGGTAGATAAGGCCTGGAAAGGAAGTGTTAAACAGAATTGTGATTCGGCCAGCAGATTTCATAGGAAAGCAAGCACTGAAACAGATTAAAGCCAAGGGGCTGAAACAGAGACTAGTCTGTCTCACCTTGGCAACAGACAATGTTGATCTGGGGAAAAGGAAAGCATCTGGTATGATGGCAAGGTGGTTGGCAACACCCAGTTATAACATCCAGAAGAGTCTGGCTTTTGCATACATCCCTGTAGATCTAAGTAAGGTAGAACAAGTGGAAGGTGAAATATTAGGCAAACATTACCCTGCAATCATCATATGAGAACCTTTGGCATTGACAGAACCACCAGAAACCAGTTTCAGAAAAAAGATAAAAAGGACAAAATTTGAAAAAGACCTTCAGCAGTCAACTGACTTATGGTTGCTATATGACTGTACTAAAAATTATTATTGTTTTGCAGGGAAATAGGAAAAACCAAAGACTCATTTCAAAATGATCAAAATCTAGATTTAGCATATTAAAACCTCCCGTTTTCTCAGCAAGATGGAATAATGGATTAGTGTTTTACATTGTTGTTTCAAATGAAGAAATTGAAATGAATGTTTTTATTATTCAATACCGTTATGAAATTCAATCAGTAAAACATTTAGGCATTTGCTAATATACAATTATTATTACAACAGCATCAGAGAACATTATATAATTTTAGGAACTTATTAGCTGAAAACAAATTACTAAATTATGCAAAAAAAATTTTTTTTAAAGCTGGGGGAGAGAAAACAGCTACTGCAAAGGTCCTGTGCTTGAAGCAAGCTGACATCTTGCTGGGACAAGAAGGTCCTGAGGCTAGTGAATAGATGCGGTGTGGGAGGTTTGGGAACTAACATAAGATGTGATCAGAGATGCCAGCAGCACAGTTTTGTGAAACAAGGAGGGGTCATTCCTTTTCATTTTAAAAACTCTATGCATTCATTAAAACCCTTGCTTAGAACTTTAACCAAGGAGAAGTGTATGATTTGAATCATTACTTTTAAAGTGCTCCATTGGCTGCAGTGTTAAGAAGCCAAGAACCCCTAGTAAAGAGGCTGTTAGAATTGTCCAGTATTAGAAGGATCTCATGTATACATAACAAGACGCACGCAATTGGCGCGCAGTAAAACAAATTCAGGTCTGTAACAATTACGTCAACTGGAGCTGGAACGTGGCCTCATCACCTCTCTCGCTCTCCACTCTTTCTCCCCCGATGCCACCATAGTGGTGAAGCCTGAAGCGGCCACTCGCTGCACAGGCTACCCAGGGCATTTCCCGAGCCACACCTCCCTCATTTACTGGGAGGAGAAATACTCTCCACCTAGGAATAGGCAGCATTCCAAGAGCGAGGCGTGCCCACCCGTTACCGGCCGGCACCTCCCCTAAGCCTGCCCCCACCTCCACACCCTCGGCGCCCTCCACACCCGTCGTGTCCCTGCCGCGCTCGCTCGTCACACCCGCCGGCAGCCAGCTCACCCGGATGCCCTGCAGCACCCGGACCCGCTCTTCCTCGTCCATGCCGGAGGACACCCTGCGACCCTCGCTGCTTTCTGTGCCCCCCATTGCAGACCAGAAAGCACTCGGGAACACAAGCCGGCTCCTCTGAAACCGGGCGGATGCCTGCCTTCCGGTCCTGGGCTGCTCTTGGCACAAGCCAACAGAACTACGTGTTGTAGGACAACTCCAGAGGTTCAGCCAATAATGTGACGTAGCATCGCGGGGCATTGTGGGAATTGTAGTCCCGTCAGCCCCACCTGCCCTTCTGTAACCTGGGAGCACCCGGAAGCGTGAAGTCTTGCAAGACGCGTCGAAAGAGAAGCAACTGGTGCCTACGCACCGAGATGCTCCAAGGACAAGGTAATAAGCAGGGGAGGGATGTACAGTGCTTGCTTTGGAAAGATCACCCTTGAAGCAGAGCCGAGGGTAATGTTCTGAGGCCAGGAAACCGTCGACGGGGCTGAGCCAAGCAAGTGATGGTGAACTTGTGTACGGTTCTCTGCTTAATTCATTCAGCAAACTGATACTGAACACCGAATAAGCATTGACCTAGCCGCGTGGAATATAACTAAAAGAGGTGTCCTGCCTTCTTTCTATTTAGATATAATGGACTAAACAAATGAAGAGACAGGCAAGCACGTAAATAAATTTGCTAATGACTGTGGTAAATGCCATAAAAGAAATTAATAGGAGGCCTCCTTTAATTTGAGAGGCCAGAGCAACTTTAAGGAAGAAGAATTTGAATTGAGATCTAAGGTCTAGTAGGCGTTAGCCAAGAGAAGATAGGTAAAGAAATTTGCTGGGGACCAACCAGTGCAAATCCTTAGTCAGGAATGGCCTTATCACATTCAAGAAAGAAAAAGGGTCTAGATACATGAATCGAAAGTGTGGAGAGTAAGAAGCAAGCAGAGGAGAGCCAGAGGCAAGGAGGTTAGACCATGTAGGGCCGTATAGTCCAAGATCAGAGTTTTATTCTTAGGAGGGCAGTAATAGTCCTAAGCATTTAGGAGACATTATCCAAGGAGCATATATACCATGTATTGAGTACAGTATGTTTGCTTCTCACACAGGATCATATGTGAATGGAGGAACACATAATTTCTATTCACATCCACAGCAACCATGAATGAAACCTCCTCTTGTTCTTCTGAACTGCTGAATGGCTTTGATTTCCCAAAGTGGGCCTGAAGTTGAGTTTGGAATCTGTAGCTGGGGAACACTGGATTGCTACATGAAATATCAAGAATAATTTGGAACCCCCTTTGGCAACCTGGAAAGGAAGAAATGAGGAGGAGAGGGTAAAGGAGAAAGACCAGTGAACGCACTCTGAAATTAAAACAGCTTGAGTGAAGAAGCCAATGAACATTCCAGGTGTGCAGTAGTCAGAGGATTTTTATAAACAGCGGCATATGCTAATTTTATTAAAATATTTTGATTTGCAAATCTCCCTCCATCTCTTTTTGTTGGGAAACGACTGGCCTGGTTTCAGAAGCTGTAACCCTGCCAACAGGCTGGAGGGCCCCAAGGCTGGAAATAATCAGGATGCCTTCGAGGAGCAGGCTCCTGAGGAGACTTGACCTGTTCCCCCCGACAGGGACATAGCCCCTGCCTCTCTGCTTTGCCATGGATGGTCAATAGCCAATGACGGGTAAGTTACCTCACACTGAGGTAAACAAACCTAAGACAGGTAATGGCCGATATTGGCAGCAGATGAGAAATTGGGGAACACGGAGAAGGGGCAAAAAGGCCCCCACACCTCTTGGCTTGGCTTAGACATGGCCGGAGTCCTCATTGCAGCCGAGAAGCAGTCTCCTCTCTCTTGGTGGTTCCCTGTCCCCACCTGGCTCAGGCTTGAAGCAGTGCAGGAGTCAACTGTAAATCAGATCTGGTGGTTGCCAGGGAAATCAGGCCTAAAAGTAATTTCTTTAAAGTGTGCTTTGTTCTTTCCTCAGATCTCTGGCCAGCTCATGCTGTGAAGGACCTTCACATTATTTGCACCCCTTACCCTTTATCATTAAGGTGCTTGCCCTTATCTTCATTCTCTTTTGTTTATACTGGTCTCCTCTCGGACCCATATAAATCAGTGAACTCCTGTCATGTTTTCTTAAAAGTATCTATTTTCTGTGAAACTTAACATGCTAATGTAACGAGTGTACGTATGCATTCCTGTTGCCCAGCCCACTGATAAGTTTTTCAATAAAAGCCTTGGAACAAAGGGAAACGGGGCCTTCCCCACCGGAGGGATGTACCACAGCCCTCTCCAGAGAGAGGGAAGTGCCCCCATCTGCTCTCCCAGCAAACAGAGGGGTTTGAGACATTTGTGTTTATTCCCCCTCATCCGTGACAACCCCGCGACGCAACACAACAGGCTTTGCGGGTTTCAGAGCTCTGCTCCTACCTCAGTTGGCCCCAGCTGGTTTCCTTCAGGTTTCAGGGAGCGCTGCGTTCTCTGCGGCACTCCTCCACAGCAGCGTCCCCCTATAGCCACCACACAGTGCAACACCTTTTGTCCTCCATTTCTTCCCTGTAAGCAGAGCCTGAGTAGGGGATTCTGGGGCAAGCAGTTTATGGGGGGAGTGCCTCAGGAGAAACGAAGTGAGGGAACAGGATAAGTTAAGTAAAGATGTGGTCAAAGCTGTGGACAGGCTTCAGCTTGACCCCACAGTGTGGTCTGGAGCACAAATTATGGCCAGAAACACTCTCGCGATGAAGCAAGGTAACCAGCATTATCTCCCCAACATCAATCATTGGAAGCCCAGGATAATGTCCCATTGAAGGGGGCATCTGTGAGTTGCCAACACCCACAGCAGCTAAGGGATGGCCTCACTAGCCAGGAAAAAATCTGAGTGGGGTGCTTTTGGCACCCCCTACATGCTCACCATATTTTTCAGGGCCTCCCCAACACCCAAAAATCTTCACTGTGAAGGGGGGTTGTAAAACTTGAAGAAAGAGGTAGATTTCACCTCTGGGCCAGATGACAAAATAATTAACACAAATAATTTAGCAAAACAGGAGTCAGAGCCACAGATGCCCATGAGACTGTGTGTGGCCTCCCCGTCCCTACCATCATCTACAAAATCCTGGGAGAGAACTGGAACTTCACAAGACTTAGAGAGAGTCTTAACACTGACAGCCGCATAGCTAAGCCTCATGACAACCCAACAAGTTCTGTGTCCCTATTTCGTAGACAAGAAAACTGAATTGCAGCAAGTGAAGATAATAAGACATAAATGCAAAGTAGGATGAGAAATTTGAATAAAGGCAGTGGCATAAGGAAGAATGGGAAGGAAGATTTTTTTTTTAGCACCTTATCTGTGCCAGGCTCTCTGATACAGGCACATGTGCCTTTCATACATTCAATCTATGACCAATTCATTTAGCTCTGGAAATTATCCTGAGAGAGTTATTACCCCATTCTAAAGCCCAGAAAATGGAGGCTTTGGGGAGATAAGGTGTGACAGGCCTGCTAGTTGCAGGTCAATAACCATTTGCTCCTTCCTTAAAACAGAACCCCAATTTCTCTTGGTACAACAATGCGCCTGGTTAGAAAATTTCCTTTTACGCTCCCACTGGCCAAACTTGGACAATTTGAGCATTATGACATAGTGATAATGTGAGTTGATAACATTTTAATTTTTTAATCCAACAGTTCCTATGGAGAAGGAAAAAGAGGGAAAGAATGGAAAAAAGGGGAAACTCTTTGCAAAAGAATACCAGCAAATCAAAGTGAGATTTAAGCATTGCCATTTTACTCTGATCAGTGAGGCTCAGTTGGTTGGATGTTGTCCTGCAAAGTGAAAGGTCACTAGTTTGATTCCCAGTCAGGGCACATGCCCGGGTTGCAGGTTCCACATACAAGAGGCAACCACTTGATGTTTCTCAAATCAATGTGTCTCTCCCTCTCTTTCTCTCTCTCTTCTCCTCTCTCTAAAAATAAAATATTTCTTAAAAAATTGCCATTTTGCAACCCTCAGTGAATTAACTAAACCAGGCAAAAATCATTAATGGATATTAAAGCCATTGTGTAAAACCTGGTTGAGGAACAGCATATTCACCCAATCTCCAAATCTCACCACAGATTTCTTAATAATAACAAAGGGAAAACTATATTGCAATGAAGAGACCTGGAAGTCACTGTCTTAACCAAATGGCCAAATTTAACATCACAAAGAGTAGGACAACCTGACATGATGCCCCTCCTGATATGATGCAATAAGGAACACACATATCTGTGGAGTATTGTCAAAAATATGAGACCTATATGTAATCATAGGGAAACAATCAGACAAATATAGAATGTAAAACATCCTACCAAACAACCGTCCTGGACCTTTCCAAAGACCAATATCCTGAAAAACAAAACAAAACAGAAAGGCGGTTTTAAACAGGTAAAAGAAGCATAGCAATTAAGAGCAACAGTGACTTTGATTAAATCCTGGATTAAAATGGCAACAGCAGCAATAACAACAAAACTATAAAAAGGTAGTTTGAGCAGCTGGGGAAGTATTACATATGAAACAGTGTCCTAGATATTATTAAATAAATGTTAATTTTCTTGTACTTGGGAGATGCATGCTGACATATTTGGGCATAGAGTGTCATAGTGTCTGCAACTTGCACTCAAATGGTACAGAAAAAACATGTCAATAATTGATGGATCTAGGTGAAATACATATGTATTGGAAGTACATTATATTATTCTTTCACTGTTTCCATGGTTTTGAAAATTTTCAAAAGAATAAGTAGGAGAGAAAAAATTCTTCACTTGGAGAACAAAATACTTCCTTCACAAGACTCCCTTGTCCCTTGCAGCTGGAAGTGACCATTTGACCTAGCTCTGACCAAGGAGGCTCTTGAACAGTATGGTACCTGGAAAACAGCACAGAGCTAAAGAGAGCAGTGAGATGTGGTGACGTGAAAAGGGTACAAGTCTGAGCTCTTTCTCTTTCTAAACTTTAGTTTGTGGGAAAGTTAGTGAATATCTTTGTATCTCAGTTTTCTGACATATAAAGTGGTGCTGACATTACCTGGAGTGCTTGCTCTGAACTGGGCACTTACCGAATTCATTCAAGGATTATTCATTAATAGCTATTATTATCGAATGGTTTTGTTTTTATAAATAACACTTTGGAAACCAATATAAAACATGGGTTGGAGAGGGAGTTGTGTAAGATGGGTTCTCCTAAATTGTGTTCTCTAAGCAGGCAAGAGGAAGAGAAGGGCTGGCAGAGTGAAAAATAAACTGTTTTGTCCATGTGAAAAGCCAGAAGGAAGCTTTCCCCCATAAATTCAGAGGAAAAAAAGAAAAAAAAAGCCTGCTTTGA